TTCAGATCAGCTTGATGCTCGTCGCCGTGGATGCTGTGCTGACGTCCTGATCCGCCTTTGTACTCTTCTCGTCATATCAGGTTTTTAAAAGATTGTGAACTAGGGCAGAGTGTGGAGTGTGTGGAGTGTGTGGAGGAGTGTGGAGTGTGGAGTGTGGCGGTGAAGGTTCTGTACTTGGACCGATTTTATTTACCCTCTATATCAGGGGTCTCAAACTCGCGGCCCGCGGGCCAATTGCGGCCCTCGGGACGATATTTTGTGGCCCCATCCTTAATATGAAAGTGTAATGTTAGTGCGGCCCGCAAGTTTTATACTGTAACCCCACTGTCAGCTGCTGTGTGGGACATGTTATGATGTTCTGGTTTCCTACTGTGTGCTTGTCCAGTGAACGTGGCATGCATGTGACTGACATGGGGGGCGGGTCGTGTGTGTCGGCCGAGGTGCAGAGAGCAGGAGGGTGAAATTCAGTTTCCTGCCCTCTTTCGCGCAGGTGATCATGTGACTAACCGTTAGCATCGCTCGTTTAATAAAGTTTTCCTTTACGACTCACACTAACAACACATGAAGCATCTGACGTCACAGACGAGCGTCTCCGTCCATTACTACGCAGCTTCGATTCACGTAACTTCACGTTTGGCTATAAAGGAATTCCACGGTCACATGACCTTAGGTCTCCCCCGCTGAGTTAAAGGAGGACTAGTGTTGTAGTCTCATTCGGACCGATCCCCCAGGGTGGGGTTCAATGACTGCTTTTGAAAGTGAGTGTTAAGTTGTGTTATTGTCGACCATGCCGTTCGGACGCTAGTCTGGCCCGCGTTCGGTTGAAGTGGGCTGCATCTGGCCCGTAGCTGATTTTAGTTTGTGACCCCTGCTCTATATGCTTCCTTTGGGCGATCTTATTAGGAAACACCGCATAAACTTCCATTGTTATGCAGACGATACTCAACTGTATCTGTCGATCAAGCCAGAAGAGACGGACCAGTTAGTTAGACTTCAAGAATGTCTTGGAGACATCAAAACTTGGATGACCGGCAACTTCCTGATGCTAAACTCAGAAAAAACGGAAGTTATCCTGATAGGCCCAGAGTGCCTTCGAAGCCAGCTGTCACGTGATACAGTTTTTATGGATGGAATTGCTCTGGTACCCAGCAGCACCGTCAAGAATCTGGGTGTTCTCTTCGACCAGGATATGACCTTCAACTCGCATATGAAGAAGACTTCAAGGACTTCCTATTTTCATCTACGTAACATATCAAAAATCAGGAACTTGTCTGTCTCCTGTCTCAAAGTGATGCAGAAAAATTAGTTCATGCGTTTGTCACTTCCAGACTGGAGTACTGTAATTCTTTGTTATCAGGCTGCTCTTGTAAATCTCTTAAGCCTCTCCAGTTGATTCAGAATGCTGCAGCACGTGTATTAACAAGAACTAAGAAAAGGGATCATATCACTCCTGTATTAACTTCTCTGCACTGGCTCCCTGTTAAATCAAGAATAGATTTTAAGGTAATTCTCCTCACCTACAAGGCACTTGCTGGTGAGGCACCGTTGTATCTTCAAGAGCTTGTAACACCGTATTGCCCTACAAGGCAACTGCGCTCCATAGATGCTGGGTTACTTGTTGTTCCTATGGTTTTAAAAAGTAGGCTGGGGGCCAGAGCCTTCAGTTATCAAGCTCCTCTTTTGTGGAACCAGGTTCCACTTTCAGTCCGGGGGGCAGATTCGGTCAGCTCTTTTAAAGTAAAACTTAAAACGTTCCTCTTTGATTCTGCCTATAGTTAGGGCTGGCTCAGGTTAGTCCGGACCAGCCCTTAGTTAAGCTGCTATAGGCTTAGAATGCTGGGGGAATTCTGAGGACACACCGAGCTCCTCTCTCACGCTCTCGTTCTACCATAATTCAAGTTTTATTAATGTACATGACTAATTCAGCGCAGTACCTTTCTGCGAGCCCTTCACCTCCCCCTCTCCAGATTCAGCACCAGCAAGTGTGTCGTCCTAATCCAGTTCAAGGCGAACCCTGTCATGAAAGAAATCTCCCGCAGTCAGAGGAGAGGCTTCTCACTCGTATGGTCGACATGTTTCAGGAGATGATGGAGAAAATGCAGCCACGCAACACTTTGCGTCCAACTCTGGGTGGGCGGTTCCAGCATGTGTCCCATGAAAAGCGTTCAAGGGAGGCAGTTTGTAAGGTCTGTAATGATTCAAGCCACACCACCATTTCAAACTGCACTGCCAAAACCTCAACTCAATTCCAGACAGAGGGAAACTAGTCGACTTGTATTCGGAGGGAGGCAATACAAGTCACACAACAAACTCCCAAATAGATGACATGTTTGATGCTGAGACGGTGTACACCTCTGTTAGAGACTCGTGTGATGAATCTGAGGTTGTTGTTTTCCAGAATATTCACAGAGTTGGCAGTAGTGACAGTCTTTTCTACACACCTGCGGTACTGGGTGGAACGGTTGCAATAGGTGGCATGTTGGACAGCGGCTCCATGGCGTGTAGCATTAGTGAAACAGCTGAGATGAAACTGAGAGATGCTGGAGTGATAACTGACCAGAAACAGATAGATGTCAATGTCGTCCTTGTGGGATGTGGGGGACTTCGTGTGAAGAAGTTTGAGAGGATTTGAAAAACGATCTCCATTGGAAAACCATGTTAAAATATTAATGATTATAGATTTATATAAATTCAAGCTTAAGGGCTAGAAAGCTGAAAAGTCATAGCTCCCCTCTCCTGAAGGAGCTGAATAATTTAATATTTGAATGGTTTTAATAGCTGAAAGTATGAAGGAGTTGAAAGGTGCGGCGGAAGAAATAGAGGAATAATAATAAGTCGGAATAAAGATTTGAAGAACAATACTTGGAATGCTTGATGCATTCCAACAATTAAACAATAGACATAAGGATTATTTAAAGATATAATTTAGGTATGTCGATTATGCACAGGACCCTCCTCCCTCCACTGACTGAGCTGATGCCTGGACGCTTGGACTAAACCACCCATTTACTTAAATGAGCAACATTGCAATATATTTTCTCTCCTCCTGACTGTATATAATCAAGAAGCTGTAAATATATACATTTTACACGTCTAATATAAGATATTCATTGAATATTATTCATAAACAAGGTCATGTAATGTTTATTCAATTGTGCTTGTGCACTTATTGAATCATACATAGTTTTGGGATGTTTATCACCTTGGGAATGGACGGCTAAAGCCAAGTAAGTAAGAAAAAAAATATTTTTTAATATGTCAGATTTGCAGCTCTGTGCTGTCTGCCCCCCCTCATCACATAACTGGATCAAGCTTGTTAGCACCGAGCACAGTTAAAGTTTGCTTTAAGAGGGAAATAATGACCGGGGGACTAAGCTGCAGAGCTAAATCTAAACTGCTGACCCATGACAAGCTGTCCTCCGTCCGACCGTGAGAAAGGGTGTCTTTCCATGCCCAGAATGTGGGTGGCCCAGTTCTTCTATCTGAGCAGTGTCGGCCAGTTGCAGCCCTGGAGCACACCAGCAGGTTTTTTAATTCTCTTTTGTATTTTTTTATGTCTGATTTATCTGCTGCTTAATGTCACTCTTGTAATTGTGTGTCTACGAGCGGCATGGGGGAAATGTCCACTTGCCAGGCCTCTCGCGAAATGAGACCAGAAACTGGAAAAATGCAAGCACGAGTTTCAGTCACCGGAAATTCCTGTGAATTTTTAATCTCCTGGCTTTTTTTTTTGCTGATTCACTCGCCTGACACATACTCCCCCCACCCTCCCCCCCATAAGGCATTGTGCACAGTGATGAATACTCTGGTCTCAGAGGATAAGAGGCTGCACTGTGCTGTCAGTTTGGCGCTCGCACTGAAGGGGATTTCAGCTCCCTCTGGGGCTTCAAACAGAGGGCCAAAGGGGTCAGGGTTTGTGTGAGATAGCACGGGGCTACGGCTTGTGTCTGTGAGTCACTGTGTTACGCCGACACAAGAGATGGCATATCCCAGCCAGGTCAGCCAAGAACAGAAGTATTGTTACTTAGTTGTTGGAGCAAAGTATAGTGGACTGAGAGACATTGCTATCCTAACAGCCGCTTTGCTAACTGGATAAAAATACAAATTGAACACAGAAAACCCAAACAAACATGGTGGAACTGTAGAAACTCACTCTGCGCTGATGCACTTTCAATTGGTACCGGACAGCCCTTCCACTGCCTAAGTGGTCAAGCCAAGTGTGTTGTCTGATGAGGGAACACGCCTTGATTGGTTCTCATGTGCGAGATTCCGAACATTCAGCCTTTTAGTCTCCCCTTCCCAGCACTCGTGCACAGCGGAAAGTCCTCTCTGGTTTGGAGAAGTTGGATTTGTTCGTTGCGATTTCTTACAAAAGGTTTTAATGCAGACGGCGACATAAAATCATACTCACAGTTGGATCTGTTTTGTTTGACCCTAATCTGTTTTTAACTTTAACTTTGTATTTCAGTGCATTTCTCTTGGGTGGAGAAGTGTTCATACCAGGCACTCGGAATTTGTTTGCTCAAATAAATCAAATATGCAAGGTCTCAATAAGTGGTAGAAGTAACTTTTAACTTTCTAAAGTATTTTAGGGAGGGAAACTCATCTCGCTTGTTAATTCCTGCCTACACACAGCACTTGAGAGCATGCCAACTTGAATAACAGTGGTGTATAGCTATTCCAGCTGTAATAACGTGTTCTATGGTGATAATGAATTAATTCCGGTGGGTAATACTCTTTTTGCTTACATTTGATACCATAATATATAAATAAAATAGCTTTTATCATTGAACGGTTGTCGTTGTTAATTTTGAATAATTAGACTAAAGCAGACAATCACACCTCTTGCATTTCAATCCAGAAACCTTAAACATTAACGAAACAAGAAAAGTCTTCAATCTTCTACAGCTGCGGGGTGCTTGGCTCATTTATGTAATCACAACATTGGGAAACTTAAAAAAGAAAAAATAAGAAGAAAAAAACCCAGCTCTTCCTCTCGCGATAGCAGCTTGCATATGCCGCCGCCATATTCCGTGACAGTATTTTGATTCGTATCTGCTGGAAGTGAGGAAAAAGAGAAAAGTTAAGGGGTTTTGAGGGGAGGGGGTGGACTGAAGAATAGGAGCTGTCAAAAAGTTGTTCCCGAGTCTCTGTCAAACGGCGCAGAGCTGAGGCTCGGTATCCCTCCCCTGAACGCTATTTGGAGGACACTGAAGGCCCGGGGCCTCGGCGCAGTTTACTCTTCGTCTCCCCGGTAGTAACTGGACTCCTCTCGGCTTTTCCTCTCCCAGCTGCGCGGCCCCCTGGAGGTCCGGCGGCGGTCTCGGGTGTAGAAGGCGGCTCAGGGAGCGGCGGGTAGTGGCAGGAGAGGCGCAAAGGTACGTTCCGTTAAATACACTTTTGGCCGGTAAGCAAAAGCCGGAAGAATACCGTTTTAATTGCGGATACTGTGAAATACCGTTTAAAAAAACACTCGAGCGTACTATGCGACCCGCACTTGTATGTACCTTCACGTTCAGTTTGAAAGGAAACGCAGAGGGAAAAAAACTTTTCAGAAGTGGAAAAAGTTTTTGTCTCCAGCCAGCAGCTAGCCGACTTAGCGTTAGCAGACTGTGAAGCGCTGGGAAGCTGCTGCCATCTCGGCGCACTCTGGAAATCACCGTGATGAGTTTAAAACAAATGTATCATCTCTCCTTGCAAGTGCGCTTTAATGTGAATGTCGGTGAATACACACTATGGGTCTTTTAGGGGCTTTAGCGTAACGCTGGCTGAAGCTACATGTTTTGTAGCCCATGCTAGCCTTTGTAGCCTTTTTTTCCATTGAGCTACCCTTTGAAACGTAGTGAGACTTGTGGATGGAAACTGGAAATCAGAAACCTGTTGCTTCACTTTATGTCCGATACGGATTGTTTGTTTTTAATCTCCAGGGCGTCTCTAAATAAATCCGTTACACCTTGGTTATTACTATTTTTGCGTAAGTTATTACTTCAGCAACGTTGACCTGACGTTAGCGGCTTTGTAGAGTTGTGCGTCACTGTACATGTTGGACAAGTTAAGTGTGCCTCGCTCTATGGGTCTTGTAGTTTTCATTATAAGATGAATTAAGTCGAGCACAGCTTGTGCGTATCAGTTGCACAATTGTGGCACGAGTTAAACTAATAGAGACACAAGAAACGCACCACTGTGTGTTTGGGTGTATTTTAGTGAGTCACTTCACCTATTTTAACTACTTTATCACATTGTACCCGCCTGGTAGTTAGGCGCATCTGACAGCTAACAGCCTTTGACAGCCAAAATGTCTGCTCAGTTGTTTTTGTTATTAGTATGTATGTTTAAGTTGAACTAGGCATCAGGTTCTCTGGATTTTTTCTCCTGCTGTGGTGAAGCCACTATATGCACCCAGCAGGTAAGTGAGGCACAGGTTGCAACATTTTACCTGTTTATAAGTGTTTCTTTGTGAGACCAGTAACATGGAAGTCGTTTCAAGGTTTTGACAGAACATGGTTGAGCAAGTGCCAGTGCAAAAAATTCTTCTGTCAGCCCACAGTAGGTCTTTCAGATATATTTCCTGCCTTTACCTCATCTTTTTTTCATACTGTCTAAATTCTGGTTAGCACAAATATAACAGTATCGTGGCAGAATGTTTATTTGTAATCCCACTGTGCGGTAATCAAAACCTCTTTAAATTCATTGTAGCATTTTTTACATTTTTGGTGGTCTACTTTGCGCCCATTTGGGTTTGTTGAGAATCTGTTTTGCCATGTTGTGTCATCAAGGCTGGTCTTCATATTTCCATCCGCCACCAGTGAAATGATGCAACATGTTGTTTGTGGATTAAATCTGGTTCTGTAAGCCCGCTTTGGCAGGTGATCGACTTTTGTTCAATTAGTGTTTTGACTCTACTAAACATGGCAGCTAAAGAATGTGAAAAACACCATTTACAATACTGGCAATCAAACCACCTGACTGCTTGTTTTTTTTTAATCCAGTTTTTAAAATTTTAATCTCCGTTCTCAGCGGAAGTCAAAAAGCTAAAGGGCTCCAAACCTCTGCTCCTTCAGCCTAATAAACGCATCCATTCTATACCACGCTATCGTCTGTGCCGGACCGTTTGGCGTGTATATTGTTCATAAGCAGCTTGTGCCTGTCTTGATTCACAGTCAACGTTGGACTTCCTGACCAAAAAGCTGCCATAGCCAACTGTTTATAGGTGCAGACCCCTAACTGAAACCATGTGTGCCTGTTTCAGGGCAAATATGTTGCTGGGAGGCCTTGCTGATTTGCCACTCTGTGGATACGACTCAAACAATTGCTATGTCAAGGTTTTGGCGAGGATCCTTCACTTATACAGCGCCCTTGCTTTGTTTAGATGTCATTTGGCACATTCTAATTGGCTACAGCAATGGGATTAAAACGTGAGAGCACACAGATCACAGATCTAAACTCACGAGAGCGTGCTGCCTAAGTTTCCATTATTCTTGTTGACAAAGCTGGAGAAAGAATTGGGCTCACTCAACGTGTTTGCTTCTGTACAATAATCACTTGGTTTTAAAGAACTTTTACAACAAGCTGGAGGTGTGGCATGTCGTTCGCAAGACTTCTTGCAGTTCGCACAACACCTTATCACAAATCAAAGGAAGGGGGGCGGTTTTTTTTTTTCTTTTCTTTTTTTCGTTTTTTTTAGGGGAAAGATAATTACTTTGCACTAGTGGGTTTGGGTGGAACGCAAATGTTTATTGTCAGAGCAAGGTGGTGGGGAAGGATCCATCACATTATGCCCATTGGTGCACACTCAGGAAGCGGGCTTGGTGTTTTTAACCCTCCCCCACTGTGTGTGTGTGTGTGTGTGTGTGTGTGTGTGTCAAGGAAAGAGGCTCTCGTTGAAGCCCCCTCCCCCTGTCGAGCTCTCCTGACTTCTCCGCTTTAAATGGAGTCCTCCATTACACACGCTGCTCATGGTCTTCTCCGGTTCAAAGGTTAAACTGCACGTATCAGGGCTGATGCTGTAGTCCACTGCACCTCAAGCTGTTGCCTGCTCAGCGCTTGATTTTGCAATGTTTTCATTTTTTGACCCAGGTTTTTTGCATTGGCTTTTACAAATAAGCCATGATTATGATGACTCATGCATACTATAATGCGAGCTATGCGAACTAGTTGAGTAGTTGTGCATGATTAGCTTACTTTTTAATGGTAGAGCTCCACAAATAGATTTTTATGTCCTTTATTTTTGGCTACTTCAAGACAGAAGAACCCCTCAATGAGCTGACTATTCCACAGCCACAGTTCTGGCTCAATAACTCAATTATAATTGTCTGTGTAACACATACAGCGGAGGCAGTGTGAGCAGTCGTTCGGAATTTTTTTACCACAGCTTTAAGCTTCAATTGACTTTCTTGACAACTTACTCGTCAATGCTAGTCTGTGCTGAGCTGGTAGCCTACGGTTTGGTTTATTACAGCTTGTTCACTGTAAACATCTTCCTGCTGCTGCTGGAAAACCAGCTTGAGGAGGTGAGGGGTGAAACTGAACCATGCAGTGCATTTGTGATAAATTGAGGCTAGACAGCTATGTAAAGCTAAAGAGTTGGGAGATACTCAATACTTTTGGATGAGGGGACTTTTTAAACAGTGTTGTTGTTACCAGAATGTATGATTAACAGAAAGACTACTGCACGCACAGAAGTAATATCGATAAGGTAATGGAAGTATCTGCAGATTAAAATAATATCTGATAAATATAGCAAAGTCATTGTAGCATTTCTACTGATTGCTGCATTTTTCTGCTCAACGTCAGAGGGCAAACAAACAGAAAACCCTAACTGTAAGATGGAAAGGACCGCAAGTGAACGCTAAACTAGCCTCAACAATGTCAGGGAGGGATTTTGATTATCTTAGACTCGTATCTCATATTCATGGACTACTTTATAAGCTATTGTGCAAGGTCTGTAAAGAAACTATTTGGATATTATTATAATGGATTCTAAGGAAACCAAAGTTTGGATATCCTGTTATTAATTTAATTTGGCTGCAAATTATTTGGTGAATTGTCCTTGGTGAATTGAGTTTTATCCCTAAACATGCAAATAGGGCTTTTATTAGTGAACTATTTGTGACAGTCACGTGACGGTACGCACCAATTCAGAGGTGCACAACTAAGCACTGAACAGAAATCCACTACTGCGACCATAAACTAAACTTCGGACATTCTGCAGTGTTTCCTTTTAGTGGCTGTTCTCACAATGGGACCATTTGAGATGTTCAAACAACAATCGAAAGGAGGTGGTCGTTTTAATCCCAGTTTGCGTAACCAAGTGACCCCATCCCGGTCATTCTGTAGGGCTGAGGTCCAGGACTAAGCTCAATTTGCTCATGTTGTGTCCAAGATACTGAGGCGATGATTTGTGTGCACTCTCGCCGACATTTCCCTTTTGGTCAGGATTTTTTGCAGCCTACAATCTTTGAGTACTAACTCTAGGCTTTAGTGTGTAAACTGCTCACATTTTGGTTTAGGCTTTTAAACTTAGGGAGCTTTGCCACGCTTCCGCACTTCCGGTGTGTCCGGCTGCAGGCTGCTTTATCGCTTATTACAGCACTGTGTGCGTGGGATTCAGTCCTTCACGCCGCTGTCCCAGGTATTGTTTTGCTATTGTCATTAAAACCCTAAATCTAATCTATTGTAAAACTATCATTGAATCTTGATTCAATTGTTATTGACAAGAACGCTTAGTCACTTCTAGTGAATACAATAATAGCAAATCAACAAAAGCAGAAACTTCCATCCAATGGGGTGAATAATGAAGAACTATTTAGTTACTAATTACTGAATTGTTAATGGAATTATTAATCATCTTAAATTTGGAGACATTAAACCCAGCAACACTGAGGTGAACAGACTGAATTACTTGGCTAAAAAAGTGAACCAAAATAGACCTCTTGTGTAGATTTGCCCTTGTGAATCAGGGGGAATAATTAAAGAGCAGCTCTTCATGCTAAGTAAGTGCTTTTTCAAGGTCCTCTTTGCAGAAACTCTGCCATGAAACGGGATAGTGGTGCAACTGTCAATTATAGGAATAGAGTGGAGCTCCTCCTCCGCTTTTCTAATTGAAACCAGAACCGCCGGTGTGTTAAACAGGCATGTTTGGAAAGACCGCAGTCCAGGTCTTGACACTCGAGCATTGTTAGTGGGGTCAATGTTGTGCTTGAAGCGTTCCTTTCCCTCCCTTGTTTAATTTTTTCCGCCTTTTTCGTCCTTGATTATTGGTCAAACAAAGCAGGAGACCAGTAGTTGCCACTTTGTTCTGACTGACACAACAGTGTTCTATTAACATGCAGTCAGAAAACTTCTAGTAATAGGCCAGAACCGGCCTTCTTTGTCTGTG